GCGGGGCGAGACCCGGCGCCGCGTCCTGACTGTTCTTTGTGTTTCTCCTCGCCCTGTCCAGGACTTCCCCATCCTGTGCCAGACATGCCTGGGAGAGAACCCCTACATCCGCATGGTACGTGTGTGCGGCGGCCGCGCCGAGCGCGCTCCGGAGCCGGCGGCAGCAGGGACAAAAGAGCAGATTGGGGACGCGCTTGGACTCCGGGCTAGTTAATTCTGCGCCGCAAGGTTGAATCCCGCTTTTATCACATGCCCTGCCACGGTTTAAGAAGCAATTGGTCAATAACAGGCAAAGAATAAGGCAGCGTTGTCCAACATCTAAGCGCAGGATATACTAGAGAGCAAAGCTTTGCTGAGGTTAAACTGCACGGCGATGAGCGAGGTGCTGAAACATTAAATATTTCTTAACGCTTTTATAGCAGGCAGGACATGCATCCATAGGAACTAGTTTATTTATTTTGTCTTTATGAGGGTCACTTGGCACTAATTCTAATCCTCCTTTCACTGTGGCCTGTTCATGAGAGGATGGATCAGTCCCTTTTGTATTACCTTAGGGATACAGGTGTCTTCACTGCTTCCCTTATCCCAACGTTACTGAAAGCCTTTTGAGAAATATGGTGTTGACCACCAGGATGGGTTATTCTTCAGAAATGGCTCATTTTCACGTAACTACAGCTTTTTTCTGTTATGAGTAGCAGTTAATATCGCATGTAATTCTGTACACCATAATCCAAGCTAAAAAGAAGCTGAGAGAGGTTTTTGTTTTGGGAGGGTAGGAGGGACGTTTTGGTTTTGTTTTGCATGTGGTGGTGGTTATTGTTGTTCTGCTCACCAGTAAGGACCCCTGATTGAGGCCAAACCGCTGGGATGAACATGTCTAAATGCAAAATACGAGGGGAAAAAACATGGTGCTTTTATATGCAAATATCATTATTTTGGTAATGTTATATATTGGGAAAAAATTATGTTGATCAAACGAGTACCTTTTGTTTCACTCTTTCTGGTTATGTTTCAGACCAAAGAGAAATACGGAAAAGAATGCAAGGTATGTGTGTTGTGTTGAGAAGAACTGATATCTAAACTACCATACATCTATGAACAGTAAATATTAATCTTAAAAAAACACCCAAAAGTGAACTTCAATAAAGTGCTTATCTGGGTTAGCAGATTCATATATTCCTATGTGTAACT